CACTTAGTGTTAGTTACACACCAGTTTTTGCTGTGGTTAAAAATGTGGCAAACTGCTCAGTAAAAAAAAAAGAAAAAGAAAGCCTTCCACCATGAAGACAATGTGGAGGTTCATCCTCAGAACAGGTTGTTGTTCTGGTGAATCAGAGCTTCTTCTGAGACAGGAAAGTCTTTAGGTTTTCTAATACCTGAACCCTGGCTTCCTCTTTCATCTTACCCCGTGTGTATTTAAACCCACCTGTTGTCTTTGTCTCTGGTCGGATCCTCGTCGTGTTAAGTCGTGTGTTCCTCGTGTTGCTGTTCCCCATCCGTGGATATTCATCATTTTCATCTACATCCTGGGTCTGCCTGTATCCTCGTTCTCACCACCACAACCATAAATCATGACAGTAGTATCCGACCAGACTAACGGTGAGAAAAGCAAGATGCGGACCCAGTTTAGACGGTGGAGCGCTTGGCGGTGTTTTGGAGCGGTCCCCTTGGAAGAGTTCTGCGGCGGAGCTGTGTTGTGGGGATCGCGGCTGGCGATCCCCCCCGGAGTGGGGTCCCGCCATCACCGCTGCCCTGAGCCGCTGGAGGTCCGGGGCCCCCTGCAGCTGTCTCCGGTTCCCTCGCCGAGGCGGCTTCTGTCTCCGCCCCCAGAGTTCCCCGTGCCCGCTGCTGACGAGCAGCCTCCTGAGTCCACTGTGGCTCCGCCCCCCGAGTTTACGGATGAGTCTCCACCTCCCTGTGCTCCGCCCCCCGAGTTTCCTGAGCCTTCCGAGTTTCCTGTGCCCGCTCCTCCTGACTTTGCGGATTTGGCTTCTCCACCCTGGCTCCCTGAGCCTCCGAGCCCTCTTCCCGAGCTCCCTGAGCCTCCAGAGCCTCCAGCCGGCCTTCCTGCCGGCCCTCCAGAGCCTCCTTGAGTCTGCTTTCTGCGCCGGCGACGCTTCCCGGTTCTCCGCCCACCCAATTGGGTAGTCTTTTGTTCTGGACTCTGGCCCTCCTTCTATCGCCCCTCCACCCACCCTCATGGGTTGTTTTTTGTTTCTTGGACTGTTTCTTTTTTGTGGGTGTCTGGTAGCCGCCCTTGGGGGGGCGGGGGGGTACTGTCATGATCCGTTTTCTGTGTTTATTTTTGAGTTGTTTCTGTGTTATTATCTTGTTCCCTGTGAGTCTCTGTCTCTGCGTCTTCCCCATTGATTGTTCCCAGGTGAGTCTTGTTCCCTTGATTACCCCGTGTGTATTTAAACCCACCTGTTGTCTTTGTCTCTGGTCGGATCCTCGTCGTGTTACGACGTGTGTTCCTCGTGTTGCTGTTCCCCATCCATGGATATTCATCATTAAATTCATCATTTTCATCTACATCCTGGGTCTGCCTGCGTCCTCGTTCTCACCACCACAACCATAAATCATGACATCTTTGGCATACTCAGCTTAATTAAAACGAGTTTATGAAGAAAACTATATTAAGTCGCAACAAACAGAGCCTCCGTGCAGTTATAACATGAAGTTGAATGATTGTTATAGTAATAATCATGTCACTATAAAATTAATAAAATGACTATTTCTGAAACCAACATAAGTTTGTTTATGTGTACTGTTAAACGAAGATAATTAGCATTTGAAAGCAAACTTGCCACCAGCTAGCAACACGTTAGCAACCTTCGTCCCTTAGGGTTTTTATTGTGAACCACATTTATTTTCCATCTAGTCCAGTTGTGTTGTCTAACTCAGACTATGACGTCACCAGCTTGAATTTACCAAAACTACCAAGGCCCTCTTTACTTTTAAGGCGATATTATGCGAGTAAAATGCCAACTTTGATTCAGAGCCTTTCTTCTCCTCCCCAGCTTCAAGGCTCTTCTTTATGGCGCTTTAAAAAAAAACTGAGTGCATTACCGCCACCATCTGGTCTGGAGTGTGAACTGGAGTTAATGCCGTTGTTGCGTTTTCTTATTCAGTATTCATATTCACAATGAACCGCAATTTTTGTTAGATAGCTGTGTTCGTTATATTGCTAACGTTAAAGTTATAACTTCTTCTCTGGGTTAGAACAGTGCTGCCTACACACAAGAACTCGCTGGTATGTAGGAATACAGAGAGTTGGTCACTTTAAGGTAAAAACAAGAAGTAGCTTCCAGTCCAGGGGGGCCACGGCTGACTCTGTGGGCGGGCAATGCCCGCCCATGCCGCCGGGCCCTGTATGCTATTATCAGTGCACCAAATGGTGACGTTTATGTTTGAGTTGTACATTGTCCCTTTTTAAATAAAGTTCATTTTTAAAAATCAACAGACTGTTTCTTGTTTTGTCATTTTTATAGGAGCTGAATCTTTCACGCCATTCACCAAACAAGAAACAATTCTGCATAAAGGGTTGCTGCAATGAATGAATCAACTGAAGTGATTATGGATGGTAGTTCCCTGCTCAAGGCAGTCTACCATAGTCGACTGCGTCTGACTCAGCTGCTCTTAGAAGGAGGTGCTTATATAAATGAGAGTAATGAATATGGAGAGACACCCCTTATGGTAGCTTGTAAGACACAACACACAAATCCACAAAGTGTACCTAAGCCTAAGATGGTTCGGTAAGTTGTCTGGAAACTCTTCAATACTTTAGTTTCTCAAATGTTTAAATGTTTGAATGTTTGTTGACAAATATGGTGACATTTGTTCCCCAAAGGTATCTTCTAGAAAATGGTGCTGATCCAAACATTCAAGACAAGACGGGGAAAACGGCTTTGATGCATTCATGCCTTGAACAAGCTGACCCTGAGGTTCTATCCCTTTTGCTGGACAGTGGAGCTGATCCAGCGCTGGAAGATCATGCGGGATTATCAGCATTAGTTTATGCAGTGAATTCAGGAAACAGAAAAATTCTTAGTGTACTTCTGGGTGCTTGTAAAGCAAAGGGTAAGGAGGTTATCATTATCACTACCAGCAAAATGGCTTCTGACCATCAGATGACAAAACAGTACCTCAACGTCCCACCCTCTTCTCTTTCGGGATGTCTGTCTTATACTTCAGTATGTAGTTATAGATCTCCATATGAGTCCCAGACTGAAACTCTTCCACACAGTTCCTCAGCTACTCCTTCTCTCCAAACCTGCTGCTCTCTTCTTGGTCCCAGTATGATTATGTTTCAACCAGGTTCTTCAGCCCAACCACTGAGTCCTGTACATATTTCTGACTTGGATAAACAACTTTATCCTTACAAGGTACAAACTGAACAGAGATCTAAGAGTCCCTCCTTGCTGCTCCAACAAAATCAAGCCTGTTCTCTGATAGAGGAACCAGTGGAAAATACTCTTGAGGAGGAGGAGCTATCAATCAGATTAAAGGCTCTTGGCATACAAAGAAGACCTCCAGCTGTTTCAAGGCACCACAGCATTGATGTTAAAGATGGAACAGTGTTCCCAAAGTCTCTAGACCACATATCAGGGAATGAGAATGCTGAGAGAAGACGGAGAGGCCTTGGCAGAAAGATGTCATATGATAGTGCTGCAAGTTCTTTGCATGCCTTATCGCACCCAAACCTGCATCAGGATAGCCTCCCTTTTCCTAGTGAATCCAGTGCAGTGGATGAAGATTCCTCTGACTGTCTTAGGCAGCTGAATATCTCCAGTCTACAAAATGTAGTGAACCGCAGGAACATTGGGATGGATCACTACAGTTCCGACTCACAGTTGCTGCAAGTTGGCAGTTGGGAAAAAATTCTCAAAAGTGGTGGAGGAGCTGCATCAGAAAGGCACAAACAGATGAACAGCAGACATTTTACTTTGTCTGAAACTATGGGTTCTTTGGAGATTTTTGTTCCAAGGCGAGGTGCTGCTGGGCTCGAGAGAAGAGGCTCCGGGGCCCTATTTCTGGATCGTATTGCCCACACTCGCCCTGGGTTCTTTCCTCCTTTGAATCCTCATGCTCCTATTCCAGATATTAGGGCTAGCCCTAGCTTTTCCTTCAGTTGTAGTGGGGGGAATGGTGTTCTGACAGGGTCAAAATCTGTTTTGCCCAGTGTACCTGCTTGTCCTCAGGATCTAAAAATTAAAAAAATGTTGTGGAGACGCCACTCAATGCAAAGTGAACAAATAAAACAGCTTGTTAGCTTTAGGGAAACTCTTGGAAACTGAAAACTGTTGTACCTGTCAGGAGTAAATGCATATATTTACAGCACTGCGTATGGCACTATTCCAGTTAAATAAAAGTCAAAGTCAAGTGATTAAAAAAGAAAGACAGACTTGATGTGTGACGCCTGCACTTCTATTTTACAGTGCAGGCTAAATATCAAAAAGCTCAGTCCAGTTCCACAAACTGTGAAAAATGTAGAGAAAATTGTGGACCTTCTTCTGGGCCTTTTTTTCTAAAATATATTTGGTGCTGTTGAGACGCTTTACCAAGGTCGAGAAAGAGTCACATGCTGTTAGACAAAAGGCCCATAGTAAAGAGTTACATTTTTGATACTGTTAGACGCTAAGGCTCATTCCTCAGAGAAACAGAAACTTATCAGGGACACAGAGACAAAGTGACAGAGACAGGGAGTGTCTTCAGTCCATATAATCAGCTACCCTCCTCCTCCTCGACGCTGCACAGACTTTTTTAGAAACTCTGCTCGGATGTAATGGTAAAGTGTCTCCTTTCAGTGCTGAAAGTTAATAAAATAAGTAAAGTCTGAATGTTTTTCTTGGCTGAATTTATGCTCCGTGTGTCAATACAAATTATGATTCATTGATTAGGATTTTCATTCTCAACAGTGCTTAAGTTTTATTCCCACGTTACAAGCATTGCGTGGTTCAATTTGTTCATTGCCATGCACATTAGGTGAAAATAATCTGGTATCTAAATGAGCTACAATCTAGTTTAAAAAATGCTGGGTTACTCAGTAACATAAAGTAGTTAATTGAAGGCAAACCTCTAAAGCTTTTGTTGTGTTAAACATTACAAAGTCAAAACGTAAAATACAGAAATAAGAAACTGTATTATCTCTAGTTACATGCTAAGCAAGGGCAAAAATCCCATCTTATTATTGGGGGGGA